GACGAAGATAGAAGAAATTATAAGAGATTATATGAATTTTGCTCGGCATGCTGCTACATTTAATCTACTCATTCTTGTTCATCCATGCAGGTCTTTCAAAGTGTGGATCTTTCCCCACCATGGTTGATTAAAGAAAGAAATGCAAATGAGTCGGCAGAGCTTCCTCAGAAATCTGATTAGTTGAACGAATATCATTTCCATGATGAGTTCCAACACACTGGCGACAGGCCGACGACGAGGCTTGCGCGTCAGACCATGCGGACCGCATGAAAAGCATTCTAACAAGCATGCGCGTCAGGACTTCAGCTCCTATTTATTTTAAATACCCTCCATCGTCCCAATTTTTTACATTCCTACTTTTCTTTTGTTTTCCTAAGCATTCACTCGCCGAAACGATTTTCAGCTCTTTATTTTTTTTCTTTTTTTTTTGAGGAGCGCCCTCCAAAGACTGATATACTTTGTTTTTCTAGCGTTTTCACCTCAAGAAATCAGGATGTTCAAAAGAAAATTTTTCGATGCCACCACTGATTTTTGCTTTTTCTGGTAAAAAAAGAAGCAGCAAACGGAAAACCCGTTTCGGCGCCACTTTTCACACTAGCTGTATACACTACACTCCAAATCTCGAAGTCTGATTGGGCGTGTCACCGGAAATGACGTGGCAGCCACCGCACTTGATAGAAATTGCGCGGATAAGCTGCTTCCAGCATGCTTCGCTGATATCTGGCGGAGTATCTTATCCACGTGGCATCTAGCAAGTGCGATGGCTGCCACGTCATTTCCGGTGACACGCCCAAATCAGAGTTCGAGATACCGACTGTATAATGGGACAGATTATTTATATTTTTTTTGTTTTATTGTCGCAACGATTCATAGAAAAAATGGCTTCCCTTTGATTGCCCTTCAGAATTCGTGGAAAGTATATTAAAAGTTGATTCAAAACTCTATTAATGACAAAATGTGTTTTTTATTTGATTATCGATCGCGAAGATACTTCTTGCGTTATTTTGCAGCAAAAGTTCATTGTTTTTCTTCCTTCGTTGTCATTTTGCGGCGCGCTTTTGGTGAACTCAACACTTTCGATGTGTTCGCAAAACAGCCTAGTCCCACGCCATCTAATGCTAGGCACGCCGTCGTCAAGGTTGTAAAGAAGGCCGTGGGTGTTTGAGGCTCGCTACCAACTCTCGGGCTCTGCCTGCATTGATGCTCATTATTTTCTCGCATTACACAACCGTACAAGTTTCATGAAATTATCTACTGCAGGTTTTTATGACTTAGGTAAGATGAGCATATGAAGGTCTTTAACAGGCAAATATAGAGAGGGGCTATGAAAGAAGGGTTCTAGACCTCTCCATCAGTGATCTCCTTTAGTGATCAAAAAACACCAAAGAAGAGAGCTCAAGCTATTCAGCTTGCACTGCTCATTTTTGGTAGGGTATGGTAGTGCAGATTGGGCTGTCTCGTAATAACTTCGTCACATGTTTCAGTCATAATGCTCAAAGCTTTAGAGGAACTGGGTACGGTCGGTAAAGTTTATTGATACGCTGAAAGTTTAGGAAGAGACATGAAAGAAAAAGCTGAATCAAAAAATATGCATGAAATACATTCTTTCTCTAAACGTAGCTGGTAGCTCCAGTCTTCACTCCGGTGTGGAGGTCCTCTTCATATTGATGCTTTCATTTTCTTCACTCTCCTCATGATCTTCGTTACCTTCTCCTTCTTTATCATAATCATTGCGTTTATTTTCTTCACTCTCCTCATGATCTTCGATACCTTCTCCTTCTCTTATCATAAACCATCTTTCTCCTTACTTCCTACCGTACTGTCTTCATCTTCATAGTAACCTCGCGTAGTTGTAGCCTCTAGCTCTTCGAAGATGCTTACGCTATATATATGTATCAGCAGGACCATGCTTGAGTTGATTGAAGGGTACATTGTTACGCTAGGCATTCTGCGAGCAGAACCTGCAAAGGTTTATAAATGAACGAATGATGCTACGATCATTTTAGTGGCCTTCACCTGTAACCGGTGCGACGTTGGTCAGATTGCGTCTTGATTTCAACTCCAGCATATGCGCATCCTTGGTGTGATATGCATCAGGTACTTCCACGATTTTCACTTCTATCGTTTTGTTGTCTGGCGCCTCAAAGGACAATTTCTAAGTATTCGGGCTATACTCTACATTCATATAAAGCTGAGCTCTGTCCTATGAATGTCAGGTGAAATTCATCAGCAGCATGTCGGCACAATTATGGATTGAACTCGAATATCAAACTGTGCTGCTCCCTACTCGACGAAGGGAAGTCGCACTTTTAAAAAATATCGATCGACTGTAACACCCATAGAATGTATGAAATTCAAGCGGTAATGGAATTGAAAGAAAGTCACACAACAATTTAGTTTGGTTAGATCCGCTACACGAACACAATCAGTATGGCTAAACTACTGGATGTTATCTAAGTAAATTTCTCCACTCCCGAGGACCGCTAACCTTTGCGCTTTAACTGCAGAGGCCGTCGCAGTGTAGAGTGCGCGATCGCGTTCGGAGAAAAACTGGTCAATAATAAGTCAGATTTGAAATCACAGACCTTGATCCAGTAGTTACATCTCATGAAACCATCTTTTCCAGCTTCGGTGTAGTTAAGTGGGTTTTCAAAGCACTGCACCAATCCTGAGTCGCATTTGAGTATTTGCACCGCAACTCTGGTGGCGAAACGATTGTTGTTAAAGAAATTCGCCAAGACCTCAAGCTGCATAATGCTGATCACCCTCACTTTTCAATTTACCAAAAACCCTGTCGCACATATCCGCTGGCGACGATCGCAATGTTGAGGCAGTTACGGTGGATGATGAGAATCTCCAGCCATTTGAGCCTCGTCTCGTGTCGTGATCTTTATGAGCATTTATGCTGGAATATGCACTCCTCACGAACATTCCTTGCTGACGTGACATCCTCATCTTACCTCTACAGACGCTTCGTCTCGTCGTTCTGTCTCTCAGCCTTCTCCTCGTCCTGTATGTCGCGTGCCCGAAATTCCCATAGCTTCCTAAGGATCTGCATGGCGAGATCGTAGCCGGCCCAGAGCGCCCTGACAGTGGGTGGGCAGGGTCTCACGAAGTACAAAACACACATCAGCTAAGCGGAGCCCGCCCACAGTGGGCGTGGCGTGCATCGAAATGAACTGTACCGAAGACCAAGATTTCGATTTCAGTGACAAAACAACCTCGAAACTGGGCCAAAAAGTGGGTAAAGGTGTGCATTGGTAAGTCACATCGAATTAGGGAGACCCACCCCCGGTGGGCGGGGCGTTCTCTAAAAAAGCAGTGCTTTATGAAAAATTTCATAACTCGGTTGGGAGAAAGCCTACAGAGCAGAAAACAATTTGGTGTAAGGGAGCAATGTCTAAGGTGTTTCCCGCATACATGACGTGGGCGGAGGTCCGCCCACAATGGCGGAGGCGCGCTCTGAAGTGTACAGCGTTTTCTACAAGTCCTCATAATTCGGGCCGGAGAAGTCTTAGTGAGCCGGAAAAGGTGGATAGAGGTACGGTCGAAGAGGCGAGCCCAACTACCTAAATGGTGCGTGCATTCGGGCATGTCCAAAGCAGGCGGAGTTTTCCACGAAAATTCATAACTCGGTCTCCGATGAGTCCTGGAGACCGGTAAAAAAAGAGAATTGAGTCCGTCAACGGAAGGAGCTCCCCCTGCTGCCGGTGGGTGGATCGAAGGGTGGAGTCTTTGCCACTAGAACTTAATAATCACGTTCCGAGAAGTTCTGGGAGGCCTGAGACAAAGGAAGTGGTCGGGTCTGACAACGCAGCGGGAGACGACCTGCTATTTTTGTGGAGCGTGCCCCGAAGTGGGCGAAGTTTGCTACGGCGAAATTCGTACTACGTTCCCAAGGAGCTCTGGTGAACCGGCAAAAGGTGGATCAGGTGGGTGGAAGCGAGTGGAGCTTGCTGTTGGGTGCGCTGCAATGTCCACCACTGGTGGGTCCCCGAAACTCTGTATAACTCGGTATAAGTAGTTCTGGAGACTGCAGACAAGTGAGCGAAGAAGAATGGGCGCGAGGGGGTGAATCTCATGGTGTCGCGAAGCGACACACAAAAAAAGCAGGTTTCGCGCTTTCGCCGTCAAAAGTATAAATCGGCTCAGAGACAGTTCAGAGATCGGGTAAAAAGTGGGGAGAGGTTGGCGAGGAAGAAAAAGATAGGTGGGACATGCAAAGAAATAGGCGGAGTTCACCACGATTATAAATCGGTCCAGAGGCAGTCCGAGACCGGGAAAAGCGGACAATTGGTTGACGAAGGGGGACAATTGGTGGACGAAGGAGGGAAGGTCAGAAAGCCATGGGTGGATGAGGCATGGGACAATAGGATAGAATTTAGCCTGGAAAGTCAAATATTCGAAGTGTACTTGGCTAAATTCGAGAGATTTACGCCGCACCATCCCATGTCGCCGCAGAACTGTGCTGTGCGCGCAAAGCGTGCTGCACCAACTGGTTACTGAATATGTTGCTTACTCAGTGCAATTGTAATACATATTCATCATTAGTAAGTCGTAGAATGAAATAATATGAGAGCCTAGAGTCTCCGTGTACATGATATCCTTGGGTAGCATAGTAAGCTTTCCTGAACGTCGCCAAAGCTACAATAAGAAAATGTACCAATAATATTCGTTCGTTTAGCTATTCTACTTTCCCCTAACATAATATTTTACCTTGGTGAAGCTCCGTAGTGCATTATACTGCCGTAGTCGTACGTTAAATTATAGTTGTTATTGGTATCCGGCGTTTCTGCTTCGAACTGGCGGAGCCAGCTACACTAAAGCTGACCACAATATTATACAGCTTCTACGGTACTCGCGAGTCTTACGTTGACATTTTCTTCAATAACCGTAATAAATTGATCACGGTCATGTCTCGAGTGCGTGTGTGAGAATCCCAGTGCATGACCAATTTCGTGAGCTGCGATTCCAACCTATACAGTAGAATGTAGTTGCACTCAGAAGAATTCAGGAAACTGTTGCGTTTGTTTTCTGGTAAACTCGGAGAAGGACAGAGGACACCATGACATCGACGTAAAGCTTCTCAAATTCGGTACCGTATTACAGTCTTCGCCGAGGGAAATTAGCTGCCACCCTCCGTGTCTGCCGACCTCTGCCCAACATCCATCATGTTTATACACAAGGATCATATCCTCAGCTAAATGAATGACATCGGATTCTTCCTTGACATTTGAAATTCTTCAATTTTACATTCTTCAGCTAGATCTTCCATGAAGTCAATGCACGTGTCGTTCATCCATAAATACGTTGCATTCTTGAAGGCCTCTTTGGTCTTGTTATCTTAACAATACGAGAGTTCGCGAATTACTTGTGCATCTCATGATAAGAAAGTAGTGAAACTGACCTAAACCATTGTCGAGAGTGTAATTGACGACATATGGCCATCTTTTACCAGGGTAGGTTTTATCATTGGGAGCCTGTCGTTTAGTTCTGCTCGCGCTATCCTTCATGATATCCACTTGTTGATCTCTGAATGGGCTGAATTTTTTTCTTTTCATCACTTGTTCAAGAATAAGAAACAAGAGAACGGACTTTGAAAGGAGCATATCCCCCTGAAATAGTGCGTCTGCGATTCCACTCTTTGAGTTAACACTTTCAATTGACTTCTCCATTCGTAGCGTTTCCTTTGGAATTCTTTTTGTACGACTAAAACTTCCAATCTTCTCATACCTAACAGCATCCATAATAAGATTCACAGACCACATTTTCCAGAAAGTCTTTTTGTTCCTGACTTAGAGCGACTCCCTTTTGCAGTGTTCCTTCGCATTTACTCAAGTTTCTCCAGGAGATTAGCACACTCTCCGAAATCCTGCACATGGTAAACACAGTTGGCACAATCTCCCCCTGTATCTTTTCGTATTTACCCCACCTCTTTAATGCGACTCAAAAGCTTTCCCGCCTTCTTTGGCCCGAGTTCCTTCCATGCCTTTGAGACGTTTGAGACGTTCAGTGTTTTAGATTTTTTCAAATCGGAAACGTCAGTGTCTACGCAGACAGCCATAAGTAGAACTCATTAGAAGAGCTTTCATGGTGCAGTAGAAGTTATAAGTTCTTGAAATGAATGCTAGTAGCCGAAGTGGGTGGTTCGTGGAATAGTGGGGCTTATCTGCTTGTTCACAAGAATTTATATTGTAGTTTCCGGACTTTGGAGTTGATAGAGAAGCATTTGAGCAGATAGGAGAAATCTGCCATTTCAGCTGGTGCTCTCGCACGCTAGGAATCTGGTTCTAACATCGCACAAGTTCTCATTATTTTGCAAACAACGTATGGCAGCTTTTTCCAAATGCAAAAAAATAACAAAAATAATAAAAAACAAGTCTTTGCTAATCTTTTTTAAATGGTTTTACCTCCTTCTTTAGCGCAAAACTACAAAGAGTATAAATTCCCATTTTTCAGTTCGAGGCATTAGCTGACTTGTGCTCATTGCACTAGTGATGTCGGCTCGTGTTCAAAGATTTGCGGCTTTCTGTCTTTGCTGGAGTTAGTCAAGAATTTCTGTGATTCCTGCAGTAATTTCTGTCTGAAGTGTGCAGGGTTCTTCTATTAATTTGGTTTAGTCCTTTATTTCATTTCTCTTTGTTATTACCATTAATATGTTACATTGAAACATAAAATAAAATAGCATTAGTAACCACAATTGTGGAGGTTCGCCTCTGCCTGCTACTCTTACTATGGAAAATTTAGTGCTATCGGTACAAACTGATTGCCTTTCTTCGACTTCACGGACCAGGGAAAGCTGCGCGCGGGCGCGTGCTTGCTGCTTTTGCTTCTCCTGCAGGCAGAGGCGACTCCTTTTAAAAGTAAAGGAAGGATTGTGACGTCGATGTTGCTTAGAGCATTTGGAATTCCGGAAGCAAATTCCAGAGTGGTTTCGCAGTAAGTTTCTTCTTCTATTGAACAGTCCTTCAATGGTAAATGTTCACGTTGGCATGAAAAATGTTCCTGAAAAAAGATAGCCTGGAATGTCCAAGGGCATATGAATGAATTTGATATGTTGGCGCCATGCATGCTAGTTTATATTGTGGAATATGCTTCGAGAGATTACACAAATTGTAACGTTCATCTACTATCATAATGCTTATCTTGGAATTGATGAAAGAGCTTTCCTTTTTTGACTGTGATACAAGAATTCGGAGCACACTTGTAATACCCGATCGTAATGTTGTCTGCTAGTTCAAACAACTGCGGAAGGAGGTTCAAGATTCTGATTTGCGTTTTACGGAAGCCTTTGCTTCCTGAAGAGGCTGCCAGTGATTACCAATACATGAAATTTCGTATACCTTGCTATGGAGAGTACTGAAGAATAGGAGTTGTTGATGCTTTGAGTGTGGCCAACCAAATGCCAGTTTAATCAGTATTTTCCAAAAAAACTGACGATGGCTCATGATCTGCTCTCTGCTGATTGCCCCTCTCACATTCTGAACATGCGACAAGTGGTTTGTGTGGGTCAAGTTAACACTTACGATTGCATAGAAGTTGCCATGTGCGGCTCTGCATAGACCTCGGCATGACACACTTTGTACAATACTGCTCCTAACTTTTGAAACATCTACGCGTTGCGACGGTTTTGTAGCGTCGCAAACCGTCGCACCGTCATAACTCCCTCGAAGCGGGTAAAATGAAATCTTTACAGCAATAGACTCGTCTCTCTGTGGCGAGTCTAACCATGTGCAAACTACTAATTTGCTTGAACTGACAATAAGTTATTCCATGAAAACTATTGTCGATCCCTCGTCTGACAGTCTCGCCTCTCCTCGTTTCCATTATCTCTCCAATCGGGACCAGCTCTTAGCTACCGCCTCGATGATTTCGTAACGCCTCACTTCGAGCCCTTCGCCACTTACGATTGGACGTAAACGCCAAGATGCTCGCCTCTTCGAAAAAATTTCCCGCGCGCTCGTTTAAACAATCTAGCACTGAGGCGACCTTCAGCTCAGCTACATATACATATACGAAATTCACTAGCTCCTTGGGATCCACCTGGAGGGACCGGGTCAAGTGTGGGATGGGTGGGCAAGGTCTCGCGAAGTACAAAACACATCAGCTAAGCGGAGCTCCGCCCACAGTGGGCGTGGCGTGCATCGAAATGAACTGTACTGACACCAAGATTCAAGTTTATAACAAAACAGCCTCGAAACTAAGGTACGCATTGGTAAGTCACATGGAATCAGGGAAACCCACCCTCGGTGGGCGGGGGGTTCTTCGAAAAGGCAGTACTTAATGGAAAATGTCTACGGACAACTTGAACTCAGTCCTTCAAACCGCGTCGACTCGATGCTCTCGCCTGCGCTCTCTCGCTTAAACAGCGGCTTTGCACGTTGTTTGTGACTCACCCAATCCATCGTCCCTTCTCCCTCCAAGGCTTAGTCCTTAGGGTTGTCACCCCTGTTTAGTCAATTCAATCACAACCCGATCAACGTCGCTGCTTCTCTACAGAAGTTCTAAATCAAACAAAACATCAAGGCAGCTTCAAAATGCACCACTCCTGGCTAGACCACCCACGCGCAAGCCAGTAGCAGTACCAGCTGCATCCGGACTCTTTTCAAATAAGAGTCACTGCTGGAAGGCCAACTTTATATATGGTCTTCACTCCTTCGCTTATCATGAGCCCTTCCTTCCCTCTAATCGTTTTAGGCTGCTGACTTGAATTCCAAAATGCCTCGAGGGGTTTTCCGTGCAGATGTTTCTGATTCATGAGCTAAAACCTTGACTGTGACCTCAAAATCGTGCCCATCATGAGTTTGAACCTTGTAGGCTCCTGAAACAATTGATGAGCGCGCCTATTCGCTTTCTAAGCTCCTTCACATATGCACGAGGCAGTCTCGCCGTTTCGCCGAAATACTCTTCCCCACAAGTGGAACAAGTGATTTTGTAAACCACCCCTGAAATGTTGCAGTCCCCTTCCCTGCCGGTTGGACAGACTACGCAATTGGGGTGGTATGTAAAGATCGGAGAGTTGATTGTGTACGGTGCAATGCTTCAAGTAATGGGGTGAAAAGTCCACAATGGCAACTGCATTCTCCAACCTAAGATTTTGAGAAACTTTTTCATTTGTGCGCTAACTGTATCGCAGACGATCGGTAGCGTGGACCAAGAAGTCATGGAGACCGGAGAAAAAATCATTCATGGATAACTCCGCCCATTTCAGTGCATGTCTCGCCTACCAACAGCAATTAATCTTTTTTCCACCGCCAACCTCTATCCATTTTTTACCAGGAATTTTTGAAACCGAGTTATAGTTTGAAAGTAAACATCGGCCACCTTTGTTCAAGCCGCGCTCACCATCAGCATATAACCCCTCCCCCTCCTTCTCTGTCCCCTATCCACCTACATTCCCGTTCTCCAAAACTTCTTGGAACCGAATTATGAGGCTTGTAGAAACGCTGTACACTTCAGAGCGCGCCCCGCCCATTCTGGGCAGGCCTCCGCCCACGTCATGTATGCAGGAAACACCTTAGACATTGCTCCCTTACACCAAATTGTTTTCTGCTCTGTAGGCTTTCTCCCAACCGAGTTATGAAATTTTTCATAAAGCACTGCTTTTTAGAGAAAGCTGGTGGGTCTCGCCAATTAGATCAGGCTTGTCAAATGCACACTTTACATTCTTTCCAGTATCTGACGGTTTTGAATCTAGTTGACATCTTGCATCTTCACTACCTCTCTTTCTGCGCGCCAGGCCCACTATTGCGGTGGCGGTCTCGATTGTCTGTGTAGTGTTTTTGTACTATTCGAGACCTGGGCACCCATCCACACTCTACCGGTCTCGTCAAACAGATCTCCAGGTGAAGAAATTTCCTGCAAGCGTACAGAACGAAGAACGCCAGACACACGAGAAGCGATAGCAAGGCGCTTTGGTAGTAAGTAAGATAGTTGTTCCAGGATTACTTTCCACCAAGTTCCACTCTGCTTCACAAGATGTGTCTGCATTTTGCATTTACCATTGTGTGCTCAAAAGAGGTCATCTGAGAATACAGAAGGAACCACTCTTAGTCCATATCAGTTTTTTTGCTTCTATTTTTTTGGAAGGCGACCAACCGCAAAACTGTGCGCTCTCTTGTCGTACACTGTGAACTGAAGGAAAAGAAGAAAATAGCGAAAGCAAGTTTGAGAGCAAAAAAATCACATGCAACTCTGGCAACGCTATGTACATAGTTGAGAACGTTAACGTGGCTGAGAAATGGCTATTCCGAAGACGCAAGAAAATGTCCATTTTCTTTCTGAAACGGGCCGAATTGTTCTGTTTTCGTTGAGTTTTATGACTATTAAGGGCCGAATTGTTGCTGTTTCGTTGAGTTTCATGACTATCTAAAGGTGGCATTAATTTTGCACAACCTAATAGCTAGATAAAATGGGATAGCCACTTGTTTCAACAGTACTTCGAGAGATTAACTTATAGCAGACAACAGGTTCCCATATAAAGCCCCCACAGTTCATGTGAAGGAAAATGAGTGACGTATGTATGTGTTAATTATTTGTACTTTTGCTAGCAGATTGCCGAGTTTTACGAAAAAAAGTCGTTATATTGATTTTCCAGCTACGTTTTCACCACAACCGCTAGACTTCTTCCATACACAGTGACCACGTGTTCGATTTGTTATTTCTTGATCACAAGAAGAATTCTACGTTAACCACTGCGGATATGTGGGGTGCAGATGATTGTACCTCTCTTTGGAACGGGTCGAGAGCAAGTGATTGCGGGTGTTACTTCTGATCCCACAAGATCTTTCTTATGTTCAGTGGGGCCACACTTCCCCAGTCAATGCAGTGAAGTGAGAAGAACTGAAGCATATAATAGATCGACGAACATCGCGATTCATGCTCTCCTAGTGCCACGATTAATGTGGTACATCTGTCGGATGCTAAAGAGCAGAAACCTTTTGCAAATCTGACCATCTCGCTAGCTGTTTTTAGGACTATCACGCTTTTTATGGAGGTGTTGCTGCAATATTATAATTGCACAGCTGTGCAAACAGAAATCCTCAATGTCAGCCGTAGGTCTAA